CTCTACCCAGTGCTGGGTGCTGAGGGTGCAGCCGTGAATGAGAATGGATTCTCTGGTCACCATCTAGAGATTCATATCTAATGACATACATTTCCCCTGAATGTCCTTCAAAGTTGCCATAGCATCCTCTTTCAATAAAAAGGAGTTGGTGAGGAAAGGTGCTCTTCTCCTGGATAACATATTTCACTCTTGGTATCAAAACCATCTCCAGCTGGTTTACATACATGTTAGAAGGAAACAGAATGTAAATGTGGTAGTGACATTTCGGTCTTATAATGTCTTCGTTTCCTTTGAAGCAAAAACACATTTTAAAAATCCATGTTAAAAAAAAAAGAGGAAAAAAGTTAAGACCTGTTACTAATCTCGCAGTTGAATAATTAAGTGTGCCTAATTCTGAAAGTAGCAAGCTAAATTATGCAGTGCCAGAAGTGACAACTCCGTACCTACACCATCCCATCCGCATGGTTTTAGCTTTATAGCTAAAGTACGCTGCCAGAAAACCTAATAAAAGGAAGCAAAAATATTTCTGTTTATGTCAAGCTGCCATTTGAGAAAGACTTAAATATGTTCTTCCCTATGTGTAAATTTGACAGCAGTTGCATAATTAAACCCCCAGTGGAGAATTTCCTTCTAATCTTTTCAAAGTCAACCAGTAAAACATCCGTAGGGTGTGAAATGATGGATTAATACTCCTCAGATTATTTGGATATCTTTGAATTAGAGCTCCACTTCCAAGAACATTATCTGAGACTGAACAAGCACAAGTGACTGTCTTTATCTTTAGGAGTTCGGGTATCACAGGAAGATGCAGGTTAGTTAATGGCACGCCGAAGGCCCCAGGTGCATCTATGATGAGTTATGCTTGTGCTGGGTTTTGTTAAATGGAGGAATGAACATATGGATACATTCATTCACATTAAAGCAAATTTGATTTCAGCCCTGTGGGAATATGTCACTAGGGTAAATAGGAGACACAATAATTGCCCAGGATTTCAGTTCATGTGAGCAATGAATATGAATAATTTAGACCCCAGAGTGGAATTTTACTGTACTTGAGTTTTTCAGATTGGCTTTCAATGCAACCTCAACTACCACTGGACAATTACTGGCAACTCCTCGCACTGGGTCTGCGCTGTGAGGACATAGCTCAGTGTCTACACAACTGCAAACTGCCTGACTCTAAGTGGGACCCTTTCAAGCCAAATGTGAGGACACAAACACCCCGTCTCTTAATGATGATCCACCTAACCTTCAGCATATATAGTCACACCCAAACTCTTCCATAGCTCCCTGACATGTCTCCCATTTCTTTTCTTTCTTCTCCTCCCTTCCTCCTCATCCCCCCAAAATGGTGCAAAAGAAAGCAGAGTGTTAAGTCCCTTGACCAGAGTTTACCTGACTATCTCCTAATTGCTAGTGCTGCTGTCTCTGGCCTTCTTGCTCTTACTTCCCCAGCTGCCAGAAGACCTGTCAGGTCCTTTTAGCCTGCCTTTTGCCCAACTTCTAAGATATAGCTAATTCTTCAAGCTTTTACTGTACTTAAACAGTTGTTGGCCTGACCAACATTACCAGTTCTCCTGCTGTGGATAACCCCTCCCCCATACAACCCCACTATTAAATACTTCAATTTCAAACAAGAATGTTTGAAATAGAACAGGTGCACATGTTAAGGTGTGAAGTTATACTCCAAACATTATTATGTAAATGAATGGCAAATAAAAAAAAATTAGTTAAAAAAAGATATGCCAACCAATTATACGCATGAAATTGATGGAATAAAACAGTGCATAACATCCATTTGGACCTAACTGAACACATAATTAACTGTGTGTCGAGATAAGTCCCTTGATACTCTGTGCTACCTGGGACTGGACCCAAGTTCCCCTGTGTGTTTTAATCATCTTGCGTAAGGACATCTGAGATCTACTGCCCTAAAACGCTGTGAGCCACTTGCCCACATTCAAAGACACTTTAGCCTTTGCCTGTGAAGTAAGTCTTAATCTTTTACCAGGCCTGACACACACAATGCTGTCATCTTTATGGAAGGAATAAGGGAAGGTTTTCTATACTAAAATCTAGGCAAATCAGTTAGCAGGGCTACACAACACAGAAAACAGAATGTCCTCATTGTTGCATGGACCATGCACACTGTGAGACTTACTGCCCAAATAAAATCGAGCGGGTGCTAATTTTCCTCTTCAGTGGATGGATGAGGTGCAGATTGGAAATCCTGACTGCCCATTTTGGGCTGAGCTTTGGCTCCCTGAGCGGCTGCATCCACCAAAGCATCAGTAATGATAATAATTGTCTCTGAAGACCCAGGGCATTTAAGGGAAAGAAACTATGTAAGCGGAAGAGAAACTGACATATGTAGGCTGTTACTTATATCTCATCCAAGTACTTTTTGCAAGAGAAGGATGAAATGATTATCATGCATGCTACTGTGAGATTCAGCAGGTCTCTGAGCAAAGTGACCAATTTGCACTACTGCTCCAGCCAGGGACAGCACATGGCTAACTGTCACAACCTTACCAATGTGTGGCAGTCCCTGAATGATGAGCCCCTCTGGGATGAACATCTCCTTGCAGCAGATTTTGGTAACAATAGCTGGGGCTGGGTCATTCATAACTTTGACACATGCTTCCGTGTAGCCTCCTACACTGCTTGCCTACATCCAAAAACACAAATCAAGAAAGAGAATCCTGCCAGTAGATTAAAGGCTGGGACCTGGAACAATTTGCCAACATGCTGACTTGATTTTGTGCAAAGAGCTGAGAAAAGCTTTAGAAGCTGTCACTGATTTCAGATTGACTTTCAACTGAAGAAAGTGATTGAAGAAGCTGGTGGAAAACTGGCAATATACACCAAAAATAAGTCTTAGACTCTGAAAAATATGGAGGTTACTAGAGGGAAGTGGGGAGGGGTGGAAAGAGGAGTTAACAGTGACAAGGGGGCAGCGGTGGAACTTCGGTGGAGAGTGGGAAAACATACATATATCCAGGGGTGAAGTTGTACCCTCCAAAGTGTACAGATTTTTAAACAAATGTTAATCTGTGAACTTAAATTTTTTTTTAAGGGAGAAATTGATGGAAGCTCATCAGAAAGGCACAGAGGCCACAAGTCTCTGGAACAAGGTGCTATTTGAATGGACTGATGGCCCATAAGGGGCAAGTCTACTTCTAACATCTCTCCATTTAGTCTGGGGATCCAAATTGAAGGCCAAAGCCAGAGCAGTCAGTGGGAGAGGAATGCTGGGGCTGCCTAATACACACAGGTGTGCCTCCAGATGGAAGAGAGCAAAAAGGTGTGTTCAAAGAGGAAGAGCACAAATCAATAATGAGCTATGAACACATGATGTAATCTTCCAGGACTAAGCATCCTTAGTACTTTTAAAGCACTTAAAAAAAAAAAAGAAAAGAAAAAAGAACCTCTAGTTGCTATAGCAACTTGATGCTGTTCTTAAAGGGGGATTTTTTGAGGGGGTCATTTTATATCTTCAGTCACCATAACAACATGATATAGCTTTTAAAGGGTATTTATATCGAGTTTGTATATACTTTGGACTTGGGCCATATTTGTCTTTTCTATTAAAATAATCAGATCAAGCATAACACATAAAAAATCATTAACAGCAAGGCAGTTCTTTCATAAGCTATACATATACACTCAGAGACATCTCTAGCTGCTCATAACCCACACATGGATATAATGTTTCTGCTTCCCAGAAGCCACCTGGCTTACACTGGTCAATTAGTCCATGCACAGTTCTGAACTGACATACCAAACCAGCCCAGTATCCACTCATGGCAGGAGTGATTGTGAAGCCCCTCACTCCTCAGCCCAGTGGCACCAGCCTCCTCCACCAATACTACCACAGGAGACTGTTCCTTGGAGTGACTAGAGGTGTGACCAGTCAAGTGCCTTTTCCCACTGGAGACTTGATGTAGAAGTGCATAGGGCATACACAAAGTGAAGATCTTGTATTCTACACCCTGTATTGGCAAGTAGTTGGGGTGGAAGACTGATTCACATGATACCCACTGCTCAGGGAAAATGGGGTTTGGAAAAAGGGGGCAAGAGAAGAAAAAAGAGGGAGAAGGGTGGAGTGGGAGCAGTTTCTGCAGGAGAGTCTCTGCAGGAGAGTCTCTGCAGGAGAGGCTCAGAAGAGGGGTGAACGTAGGAGATATGGGGGGCTTAAAGGAGTAGTTTCTTAGCATTTTTGTAGGTTATGAAACCATGAACTTCTTATACCAAAAATAAAAGAAAGTATAGGGGATCACCTCCCACCCCCAGCCACCCCTATGTGCCAGTACTGGTCAGAAAAGATGGTTAGGTGAAACACTAGAGAGGAGATCTGAAGGGGGGGAGGAGGGGTTGAAAATCAGCTGGTGCAGAACAAGTCCTAGCCTCTGAATCTAAGGGCCTTTTCTTTGGGGATGGAGGTGCAGACTGTGGAACAGGAGACGATCTAGAGAAAGAGATTCTAGGGGAAGTGGTCACTCTTACAAAGGCAAGGGGGCTAGAAGACACTAAAGGGGAAAGGTGGAAAGAAAAGAGAATAAAAGAGTGACAGGAAAGAGGGGGAAGGGACTCTCCAAATCTCCAGATGAGGAGGAGGCCCACGGGCATGGGATATAGGAAGGAAGCATCAGGTCCTGAGACAGTCTTACAAGTCCTTTTGTACAGGAGAAAACTGAGTATTTGGTCATACAGTTGCAAATGTTGGCCTACGTACGGGTGGTCCGGGGTCTGCCCGGCACAGGGGTGAAGGTTCTCCTCATTGGGCCTCAATGCCATGCTAGTGACCATTGGGTGCGCATCAGAGATGGGCGTTGCGGGCCACCTCGAGGGCTTAAAGTCAGTTGAGGGGTCTGGTGGAGTACAGGGGTAGGGGTGGGGGACAAAAGCAAGACAACAGAATTTTGACAAGGAAGAAACAGAGGAGGAAGGCAGGTGGAAAGGAGCGGGGAGGAAAGACGCGCGTGGGGTGCGACACTCACCTATGGTGGATACCACTGTGCCCACGAAGTAGAAGGCGCCGGGAAAGTCCCAGCGCGGGCGTAGCGCGTCTGCTCGGACGCCTGCCGCCAGAGCCGCTTCGTAGTGCCGAAGAAAGGCGCGCAGTTCCGGCTCTGCCACGCCGTGCGCCGCGCTGAAGTTGCGCAGCGTGGCGCCCCAGCGCGCCCGCGCCTCCGCCTCTCCCGGGCTCTCCAGCGCGGAAAAGACTGTGGCGCCCGCCACTAGGTAGAGGCCGATGAGCGCCGCCAGCAACACGAAGCGGCCAGTGTCCTCGTTGAGGTGCGAACGGCGGCAACAGCAACAGCAGCAGGAGGGGCGCGGCAGGCGGCGGCGGCAGCGGCGGGGCGGGGGCCGGGGACTACGGGAGGACATGGTCCGGAGCTCAGCCCCGGGGCCGGGGCGGCGCTCGGAGCCCGGGCCGCGACATCCCCCACTGCGGGAGCAGAAGCGTCAGGATGGTGGGCAGAGACCGGGGGCCGCCGCTGAGCCCCTCGCAGCTTCCCCAGAGCCCGGACGGCGGGGCGCCTCCGCCTGGTTCTCTGCGCTCAGGCTGCACAGGGGTCACGCGGCCCTTCGGGCGCCGGGGTTTGGGGGCTCCTCTCTGCGCCCCGACGCCTCACGGGTTCCCGCGGCTTCTCACCCACCGCTCCCGAGCGCGGGGGTCTGAAGCTAGGCCCCTGCCGCCCTTTGGCCGGCGTCCGCGGGGCTCCGGGCCTCATACTCCTCTCCAGACAGGCCGCGGACTGCGGGCGGGGTGGACTGTGGAGTCCGGGCGCCTAGGACTGGGTCGCCACAGCAGGGCTCAAGGAGAGCCCCTGGGGGCGTCCCATGAGGCGTTCCCGGCTGGGCGGCTCCCAGGCCCAGGCTGAGCGGGCAGTCCAGCTCCCGCCTCCAGGTCTGAGCTGGCGGCGTCGGCTTCAGAGTCTGAGAACCCAACCGAGTCCCAGGAAGCGCTCTCTTTCTAGCTCCTGCAGGAGAGTCGCCCGGCTCTGAGAGGCGGAGTCACCGGCGCCTGGGGCGGGGTGTTTGGGAGGGGGGAATTAGGAAGGGAGGGAAAGGATGGGATGTTGGGTTGCTGCAACGCCTCCCGGTGGTTTTGGAGACACTAATGCGGGCCACTGAAGCAGGTGTCCGACTGCGGTGCTGGCTACCACTCCACCGGAGGACGCCGTCCCATCCTCCCCTGCTTTTCATCCCTCGCTTATCTCTAAGCTGCCGCCAAACTTTGCCCAACTTGATAGCGCGCTGCGGTCTTAGTGATTGGGGGCCTCACGACGCGAATACCCCAACACCAGGTTCTCGGGTTCCAGTCCAAAGTTTAAGTTCCCCATTACTCCTTTCTCCCTGGGTCCTCCCGCAGCGCCAGCTCTCGGAGAGTTCCTTTGGGAAAATGATCCCGCTTGAGAGCGAGTGGGATGTCTGGGCTCTGGGATTGAGAAATGAGGGCGTCTCCTCCCCCTCCCGATCCAGCGGGCGGCCCGGCGTCAGCACCACGGACAGCGCATCAGTGCCGCAGCCGCGGGGCGGGCGGCGCTACTGCTGCCGCTGCGGGGACAGACGAAAAGGCGGGTCATCCTGCTGCGCTGTGCTCCCCCAAACCCTCTTTACCTCCGTGTGTTCCCTCAGCCGGAGGCAGGTGCGTTGAAGCTGTGTGCTGACTGGGCGGGGACATTGCGGAATAGGCACAGAGGAGGAGTCAAGCACGGTTACCGGGTCGAGGTGCCAGAGGAGGAAGAAACGTCCAGGCCCACCAGGCTGCTCTCCTCTCGCCAGTCCAGCTCTCTTTCCCTCCAGCACCGATGGGTTGATTGGATAAGACCCTTGCTGCATTAGAGCTGGGGGTATCCTGGAGAGGGGGGAGGTAAGAGAAGGTTTAGGGGGAGCTTATTAGCAGGCTCCCAGTCCCTAGACCATCGGGGTGGGGGTGGGGGAGGGGAGTGTGTGCTGTTGAGTGCTGGTGGCCGGCGGTGCAGCGGGAATCGCTCTGCCACTATCCTACCACCACATTGCTACCAGGAGGTCTTTGTGGTGGTCAAGTGCAGACTGGCTGAGCCTGGACTAAAAGTTTTGTGATGAAATACACTCTTGGTACCCTTGGAAAAGCATCCTCTTCTGGCAGCCAGTCCCTCTCTGTCCCCCTTCCATTTAAGAGGCAAACCCTGATAAAGATAAATGATACAAGTAAAGATACTGGTGGTAACTGTGCTTAGATACCTTAGGTGTGTGAACTGGCAAAATGCAGAACTGCCCTCCACCCCACATCCTGGACTGTTTGGCTTCCTTAATAGAAAACACTCAAACTAAAGTGGACCCAAAGTGGCAACAGCAAGATCAGTCTCCTAAGGGTCATTGTGCTCAACATGGTCCCTGAAGTAGCCTGCACTACTTGATGGGCATTTCACTGTCAGGAAACCAGGTCCCTCTGACCTCATGGCCTACTTGGCTATTGGGAAGGAGGGAGCAGGACTATCAGAAACTGAAAGGTATCTGACTTGAGACATTGATTTTCCCAAGCCACACTCGAAATTCATCTTCCTAGATATGCTGTTCTGGTTTATAGATGGAGCCAACTGATTTCACTCTATGTTAGGGAGAAGACAGGTGGGAAGAGATTCCACCCTGATAGTCAGCACCAGGCTTTCTGATGCTAGGTAGTTTTTCAGTGATCTTCTAAAGGGGTCTGGGGACTTTTGTTTGAGGACAATAACCCATCTCTCAAGAAGAAAAGACACACACCCCCTCCTCTACTGGAGCATAGTGGGAGCCTTATACAATCACAAAATATTGTCAGTGCAAATAGTTATTTTTGACAAAATGCACTTCACCTTGCTTTCTTGCCAAGCCTTTGCTCCAGATTGTTCCCTTATCCCTATAATACTTCCATGTCTACAAGCTTTTGCAAGCAGGGAGGACACAGCCAAACCATGGACCTCTGGGATTGGATTCCACCTGATAATCAGTGTTGACAGAAGTCCTGAGTAGTGTCATTCAGGAGTTGGTCCTGGAATCTCCAGCTGCAGCTGAAAGGCATTGTCAGATCACTCAGTGACTTTCTTTGCCCCTATTCCCAAGGCAGGGACAGGTTGCTTTACTGCAGTGTTCTCTGACTCTGGACCATCTCCTTGCTTTGTTGGCTAAGGGCCTGCCTTGTCCTCTACCTTGTTATTCTCGCATGATTAGCAGCAAACCCCTGGCATCAGTCCTGATGCTGAATAACCTAATCAATTTATATAATAGGGAAATGATGAGTTCCTTGCACTTAGGCATGGATCCTTGGGGAACCAGCCCCATGATGAATGCTACTTTTGCCCAGTAATCAATATTTAAGTCACTTCCAGTTGGCTATCCTCAGGTCTTCACCTCACCCTTGAATTGTTGCAACAGCCTCCTAAGTTGGGGGTTTACTGTCACCCTGCCTGTACCTGTCAGTCATTACTAGATCATGCCCACTCGATCTGATTAATTGGCTACACTTAGATCACATCAAATTGCTCCCCCAAAGTTATAAAAATTTAGACTGTAAATCCTTGGATCTGCCACTTAATCAGGTCTGCCCTTGATCTGATTCCCAACTAGTACTTTTGCTATGTCCTATCTACTTCTACTATCTCCTACTATCCCCTAAGTAATCCACACTCAGCCAGTCACCAGTATTTGTACTTTCCTCCACTACAATGCCATCTCCTTTCTCCTCTCTAGCTCTTCAGATATTCAGCCCAACTCAACTAGATCTTTTTTCTAAACATCTTTTCCTTTGTAGTATATTTTGACCTGATCACTTTGATGCCTTCATTTCAACAGTAAGATAATTTGATCCTGCTATACTCTTAAGAAATTAAGACAAGACACTTGAACAGGTGCTGCTTCTCTGTTTTCTTCTTTGTGAGTCATATGTCCATAAACTGATGAATAAATATGTACACTGTGGTATAGCTATGCAGTGAAATATTCAGGAATAAAGAGGAATGACACAGTAATAAATGATACAACATGAATGAAACTTGAAAGTATTATACTGAGTGAAATAAGTCACAAAAGATCACTTAATATTTTAAATATTCAGAGTAGGCAAATCCAAGTCAGTAAGTGGTTGCTTGGAGCTGGGGATTGAGGAGCAATGGGAGTGAAAGCTAATGGGCATGGGGTTTCTTTGGAGTGTAATAAAAATGTTCTAAAATTGATTTTGGTAACGATTGCACAGCTCTTTGAGTATACAGAAAAAAGTATCAAATACGACTTTTTAAATAAATTGTATAGTATGTGAATTATATCTCAATAAAGCTGTTAACAAAAAAAATGCAATGCAACTAATTGAGCAATTTTTTTATTTTTAAAATAATGTAAGTTTATTTTTGCATCATTTTGAGCCTTTTTCCATCTCAGTTGTAATCCCCAGGGGCTTCCCATCACCAAATCACCTGTGTGCCATCACCATAGTCCAGTGCACTTCATTCCCCTTCCCCCATTTTTGATCCCATTCCCCACTCCACCCTCATAAAATGTCTCTGGTATATAGTTGTTATTTATTATTATTTTTCACCTCTGGTCCTTTATGCTCCTTCTATGAGTGAAACCACCCACATTTTTCCTTCTCTTTCTGACTCATTTCATTAAGCATGAACCCTTCCTTAATCCTCGTTGCTGCAAAAGGCATGTGTTTATCTTTTTTAATATTCCATTGTGTGTATTTACCACATCTTTTTAATTCAGTAATTGAGCAAAATAAAATAACTTATCCCAAGGAAATTTTTTTTTAAAGATTAATTTATTTATTCGTACAGAACTAGGGTACAGGCCAGAGATGCGGAGGGTGAGAGGATTCACCAGAGACAGAGTGGGGAGCAGAACAGGCAGATCGATGAAGCACACTGCTGAGGGAACAGCCGGCAGGAGAGGTCTGCGGCGCCATGTGGCTCTCCTCTGGGGCAGGCGGTGATCGAACTCATGCGGAAGTGGCTTAAGCTTCTTTGTGCAGTGCTTTAACCCGCTGCACCACCAGGAAGGGCCCAGAAAATTATTTTTATTGAGAAAATAAAATAACTTATCCCAAGGAAAATTATTTCTTTAAAATAGAAAAATTAGGAAGTTTAGCTGTGTTTAAAAATATTGATTCTGAGATCAAATGTGATAAAGGAGTTTGTTCCAAAAAAGTTCTTTCTTTTAAAAATTAATCTATGCTGGTAAAAATTTGATGGGAAATTCTTCATTCCAAATAGCTGGTTCAAAATGTCCTGGGTGCCTCCAAACCTCTTTGATTTTCCGGACCTCAGACCTCTGATATTCATTGCATTACTCATTAGCAATTGGTTGTATATTTAGACACTTATATATCTATATGAAATCTAGAGAAGCTCATCATCTGTATCCTTTTGAATGGTCACTTGAGTTGCCTTCTTAGTTGTACAGATATAGAACATTCTTCCCCACACCCTTCCATTCTCCTAAAATTAGGTTTTCCTAAGCCTGTATATGTTTTGTGTAATTTGGTTAAAAATTCCTCATACCATGTTTTACAGTGCTGGTCGCTAAGTAGGAATGAACCACTTTTACCCAGGACCTTCTGGAATGGAAGGGAAAGATGGTGGAGGGCAATGTCTAGCTATAACACAGGAGGTGGGGAAAAGGCCCCATGAAATTATTCATAAAAGTGTCTAATTGCTCTGGTAGCTCACGATCTAACTGATGTTTGATGTCCCATAGGTCCATCTCCCTGTCAGTGTGTGGTATTTAAGGCAAGGGTTGAATCTGAGTTTGTGACCCGAAAGGAGGGCAAGTTCGGCCCCTCATGGTAAAGTGCAATTGAACAGTGATAGATAAACAATGGAACAGGTGGTGCAGAGGGACAGAGAATAAGGGCTAACCTTGCCTTTTCTTTCTAATTGGTATTTGGAAGAAGGGGCTGAATCAACCTCTGTTGATTTATTGATAGTCTATCTAGATTTTTTTTTTAAGATTTATTTATGCATACAGAAATGGATTACAGGCCGAGGTGTGGTGGGTGAGAGGATTCACCAGAGACAGAGTGGGGAGCAGAACAGGCAGATTGCTAAAGTACACTGCTGAGGGGAGTAGTGGGGGGGGTCAGGAAAGGTCTGGGGTACCATGTGGGTCACCTGCCGGGCAGGGGATCAAACTCAAGCTGCAGTGGCTGCAATGGCTTCAGAGTGTTGCGCTTGAACCTGTTGTGCCACCAGGGAGCGCCCTCTATCTAGATATTTTACCTATTATTAAAAGTGAGTTTTTAAGTCTCCAACTATTATTATAAAGCTGTCTATTTCTCCCTTCAAACCTGTCAGTGTTTACTTCATATATTATGGGGCTCTGTTGTTAGGTACGTATATGTTTATAAATATACCTTGTTGAAACTTTTTTATTTTATTTTATAATAGTTTATTTTTACATATTTTTGTGCATTTTTCCATCTCAGTTGCAATCCCCTTGGTTGAAACTTTTTAATGTAATTATCCTGTATTCAGTCTATAATGTATTGTTTTGCATGTCTCTTGTAACAGTTTTCAAATTTAAATGCTTTTTCACCTGACATTAGTGTAGGAACTCTATTTTGGCTACTGCTTGCATGAAAAAATTTTTCCATCATTTCACTTTCAATCTTTTTTGTATCTTTGGATA